CAGTTTAACACTTTTACGGTGATAAAAGCTCATTGTCTAAAACTTACGAAACACAGACGTATTCAGAAAGAGTATTGACAGAGGTCGCCGCCAGAACAATAAATAGGTGTGAATATTTTTAGGCATGTTGTCGAAACAAATGAATAGGATTTAGGAACAATGCCGTTTTGGAACAGCTGGTTGAAACAATGAAGTCAGTCACGGTCTTGTTGAATTGGGGGTGCGGTTAGTAATAGGTACTTTTCAAGTTTTCAATTTTTGTTAAGAACTCTTTAACCCCGAAGCCGGAATTGGGGGTGCGGTTACTATTACGTATGCGGTTTATATTAGGACTTTAACGGTAATTAACAATAGAGCTCATTGTTTCTTTGCAAGGTTCGTGAACTTAAAACCCAATGAAATTGTTCAAAACATCAAAATATTGAAATTAAATGCTACTGGTAGTAAAAATAAATGGTTTTACAGAACATGGTTTATCTTTTTCATATCTAGGATTACCTTGTTGAGGATCCTGTTGGAATTCTTGAGATAGTTGTGGTAGAAATATTAGATCTCTTCCTTTTTCTTTCCATGAGGTACGGAATATACGACAGACTGTGGTTACTAACTGGTCTTCTGTAACCTCACCAGTTACACTGGATTCCTGACAAAGATACAATATTACATATGTTAAATTTAGAACTTGATTTTCAGTCAAAAACTATAAAATACTTTATTTTCGCTTGAAATTAATTTTCGCTAAAGGAATGATTCAGTGAAAATAAAATCCAGGGAATATACCTTTTTTCCTATATTTAACATTCAACTCGTCAAAAATCAGTGAAAATAAATTCCATACAAAACACCCAAAAAGAATTTTCACGGAAAAATAAATAATTTAATATTTGCTTCAAATAAAGTAAATTTTTAATATTTCCTACTTTCGTCTTCAATATTTATGAATACATAATGAGCATTTGATATTTGCCGACATGTGTCAATCTTTTCTATGAAGGTCAAATAGTGGTGTTAATATTGTATGTGTGGACACTGTAGTTTTTGTGGATATTGTGTTTGACAACTTGACATGTTCATGAAATTACGCTATTAAAGTAATTTAATATTCAGTAGGAGTTTACCTTTTGTGACAGGACTTTGCGTTCTTTTCTTTCAACGTCTTCCATTTCCTGCGTTTCTATCCCAGAATCCACATCCATCTGAGATAAGGTACTGTAACAATAAAACGTATACAACAGATCGAAGTTCAGCTACTTGAGAATACAATTCTCAGATTACACTCCCCATAGACAATGATGTACATACCTGAAAACCAGAGCTACTTGTTGTCTCTCCTGTATGTATGTGCAAATTGCAAGTGCTAGTGCTGACACATAGTGCATTTTTGCCACAGAAGTCATATTCATGTTTGGCACTACATGACAGGGCTGTGCGGCCATCTCCTTATCAAATTGCAAATTAATGCGCTATCCTGGCGTCAACCAGGCTCGGTCGAACACAGGCACCTGCAGACCTTAACTAAGGTTCCCCCAAAGTCACATTCGTTAGTAAATGAATCTCGGCCTTCCCATTGAGTCTGTGGCACACTCACACAGGGTAGGGGTCGACCTTTTTGATGTTCAGCCTGAGGTAGGATTTGACATTTGCTTACTCTGG